TTTTGAACCTGGTCCCACGACAGCCCACAACCTCTCATTTCCTGCTCGCACGACCTCCTCCATGTCACCCTTGCCTCGGACGTCCAACTCGTCGCTTCCCATGGGATTCCACTCGAGTGTCTGGCCTGATGCGTGATGTCCCTAGTCAGCCTTCTCAGTGCATGGCCAATCCATCTCCACTTCTTCCTGCATATTTGTTGGGTGATAGGTTCTTGGTTGGTTCGTTCCCAGAATTCCTTGTTGCTTATTCTTTCTCGTCTTCTCATCTAATCTTCAGCAACGAGTATAGGCAGTTGTTGATGAATATCTGTAGTTTATTGGAAGTGCTTTTCGTGACGCGCCAAGTCTCTCAACCATCACAAAGAAGCACTGACTTGACTGAATTGGTGTTGAAAATCCGGATCTTGTTCCACATGCTGAGTGCAGAAGATCTCCACACTGGTTTCAGGCTAATGAAGGCCTCTCTTGCTTTTCCGATTCTGCCTTTGACATCCTCATCTGTGCCTGTGCTGCCTGTAGTTGAAACAGTGCTTCCTAGATAGGTGAAGGAGGTTACTTCCTTTAAATTTCTCCCATTGATGGTGACTGGAGTTTGTTGTTGTTGTTGGTAAAGAGTCTCAATAGTGACAATAATCAGAGCGATGCTTCAATTCTCCATTAAAGCTTGATTCGGAATGAAATGAGAAGACGTAGCTTGGCAGCCAGTGGGACTACAATGAACAGTTATTTACGTATCAAGGATTCACATAGCGGTCAGGTGAAACCCTTGGTGATTGAAGTGAGGATAAGAACCAGTTAGTAACCAGATCTCTTAGTTCATTAGATGGAGTATCGCGATGATAATTTACTGACTGCTGGTTCGAATCCCATATGGGCTATTACCGTATTTCACCTTCAACCATTACCCTTTTTCAGTAAAATAAAGTAATTTGCAGAGAAATAATTTACTACTAGGTAGTTCTTGTCATGGTCTACATTTCAAATGCAGAGAAAATGAAAAGCGTGTGGTACTCAAAATCAGTCACTGAAAAGTGTAGATTTTCTAACCATCTGGCAAAATTATATGTACCTAGCATTTTCAGTCAGCTGGCACTCACATGGTAACAATGAGTCTGAATCCATAGATATAAACAAAAGCAGTAAATTATTCCCTTGAGATTCTCAAAAAAGGTGGAGGGTTTGAGAGATTAGACAGTGTTGACAGTCTCACATCATTAAGTGATCAGTAGGCAAAAGAACTTAAGTCTGTCACATTTAGCCGAAGCGACAGCTATCATGAGACTTAAACAAATCTATGTATTCAAAAATATTTGGTGAACCAATATGAAACAAACACAAAAATCTACTCAGTTTCTTAAACAGTCGCTTGATTATCACGGTTTTGGTAGTAATAATAATGGTAGCAATAGTAATAATAATAATGATCGAATTGTAACGCTACGTATCATCATAGAACAGAGCATAAAGTGGTAATTAACTCCTCACCTCAACTTCATCCACTTTGAAAAGGCGTTCGACCGAGGCGTTCAGTGAGAAGCAATTTGCCAGCTGCTTCAACACTACGGTTTCAGTGTCACAAACCCTTACCAACCTCATTCAATAGCTAGCTATATGATGTTGCTACATCCCAAGTGATTCACAATGGACAGCTGAATGGTGCCTTTGAAATGAAGATAGGTTGACAGGTAAGACAAGACAAGGTTGCCACCTACTATCACCGACCATCTTCTTCATTGTGGTCGATTGGATCATATAAGAAACTGTGGGTAGTGAGAAGAGGGGCATATACTGTTTGACCGATGAAAAGACCCTAGAACATTTGCATTTCACCCATGATTATTTGTCTAATGTCTCACAAACTCGATGATCAACAGGTAAGAATCAACAAGTTGGCAAAGGAGGTGAGGCAGTGAAGACGAGACTTGCTTCAGGTGAACGTAGAGAAGACAGAGTTGATGAAGATACCACCCAATCGAAAACAACAACAGCAACAACGAGCACCAATTACACTCAACGGGAGAAATGTGAAAGAAGTTGTCTGTCTCACCTACCTACCTACCTACCTACCTACCTAGGCAGCATTGTTTCAATTACCGGTGGTGGCACAGATGACGATGCGACAGCCAGGATCGGTAAGACAGCCAGACAGGTCTTCATTGATCTGGGGAGATCAATGTAGAGATCTATCACACAGCATTGCATTCAGTGTAAAGAGGAAGATCTGAATTTCAAACACTAAGTCAGTCAAGTTAGTGCTTCTATATGGTTCGCAGACTTGACGCGTTAAGAAAAGCATTTCCAACAAACTAAAGACATACGTGAACAGGTGCCATAGCTAAATATTATTGTTAGGCATAGAGGCAAACTTTGAAGTGCCACGATTTTATGGCAGAAATAGCAATTATCAGTCATCAAAACTGTTTGCTACCTAACTTGTTACAAACAGAAGTTAAGAAGTCAGGCATTGTTTGTACAAGTTTGCTATGATCATGATAAAAATTGTTAACTGTAAGGTTTATCCACTGTTTTGTCATGATAGTGGAAGTCAATAACTTGTCACGTTAAACATCATGAAGTTTTACGATGCGTACAGCTGTATCTTTAAGCGTATTCATATGAAAGTGATTTCATTGTCTTGGTAAAGTTGGGCCTTGCAAAAAGATACATTTAGTAAGTAAGCATTTACTGGTTTATTTGCAAAAGCTTCTCTATATGTAAACCAAGTGACAGATGGAAATGATGTTTGATCAAACGTCAAACGGAATACATGAGTCTGACTATTAAAAATTTAAGGTTTGTGAGGATTAATTGATTGATTTCAAAGTGGTTTTCACCACAGTGGTACACTGAAAACACATGAACGTTTGGCACTTGCCTCATCCTAGTATGAGACTCTTCAGTAGTATGCGCTAACAAATCGTCATGGATAGAACTGAAGATTTTCAGGACTCATGACAAAGGCGTTACTCGTTCAGCTACTAGGTCAGACAGAGTTGAGTGGCCCATAGTTTCTTACTTCTGTCAGTTAGCGATACAGTGAGACTATCCGTCAAAAACTTCAGTTGGCACCTAATTGGTTAACCCCATAGGTCATGGCTTCTCATTAGACCTTCAGGATATCCATCCTGAAGCATGTCATTAGTGAGCGCTATAGAGTAATATGTATTTTGAGGTTAAGAAGACTTTATTTGTAAGTCTTCATTCCTCACGAACTGAAATTGGCTAGAGTAGCGCTGGAAACCTAGGAGAACTGGGTAGCTGTTTCCCTCTAGTATGGGATTCCTCAGCAGCGCGCAGCCATGACTTTGCCGAGTTTTCCGATAAATGTTTATCACTTATATATGTACATATCATGGCTCGGACTACGTGTCTACGACGTCTCTAAATGTTTTTCCTCCAGAAGAAAGCATTGTAGTCACCGGTGTGGCCGACTTTATGACTGACTACTGCGATGCTGTATTTCAGATCGCATTAATACTGAAAAGAGATGAACTTAACGCTTCTCATCTCTTTTGGTCAATCACAGTCTAAGAAAAGAAATCTGGTTAATCCTAGTTATTTGGTTTTTGTTACGTTCTGATGAGATCAGAACTGTTATATAATTCGAAACAAAGTTATTTTTATGAGGAGGAGTATTACTGTAGTTGAGAAAAGAACTAGGTGGGGATTATATTCAAAGCCTTTTTCTTTATAATTGGGAAAAGGAGCTCTTCAACTATGAAAAGCTAACACGATCTACTTTAAACTGCAGGAATGCTTTGCCTATAGTTAAAACGAAAAACTAGTAGACAGTTGTTTTCTTTGAGCTCATTCTTGCCAATTATGGTTTTAAACTGAAGGATTAAGGCTTTATCTAAAGTGTTTGAAGAGAAGTAAACAGCTTATTACCACTCTGTAGCTTTTAAAGGCTAGTTCAAACAAAAGCAACCTTTACCATAACTTGTGCTTTTAAATTATTACGTTGTTTGAGTTAGGGATAAATGTGTAGATCTGCCAATAAATTATACTGTTTATTACTTTGATTATCTAAGGTAGCGATAGTATGACAAACTAGTGTTTATACTGGGCGATGATTGAAGGTGAAAGGGAAATTTGAATTGCAGTTGGATTCCAACCAGCGACCACTGGGTTTCGAACATGATATCCTACAAACTGAGCTATGAGGTCCAACTGCTGACCACATTTTTATTTCACTTCAATCACCAAGGGTTGTTTTGTCCGACTACCATGTGAATTCGTGAATCGTTACTATCTCTTGATCGTATTCACACTGGCTGCCTAGTCAGGACTCCTCATCCAGATCCAAATTTAACTGGACTAGAGAATGAGCCATCAGATTAATTATCTTTTTGTCCATCTGAGATAGGCGTAGTTTGGGAGACTAGTATTCATACTGAGTAGTGATTGAGGGCGAAATGAAGATTTGAACTATGGGCGGATTCGAACCAGCTACCACCAGGTTTTCTGCTCTATGCTCTACAAACTGAGCAACGAGGTTCTACTACTGACCAGATTTTTATTTCACTTCAATAAGCAGGGCTTTTTTTAGATGGTCAGAATGATAATCAATTTGATGCTCCGTCTCTCTAATTCAGTTAGATTTGAATTTGGATGAGAAGTCCTGACTACGGGCAGCCAATGTGAATACGATCAAGCGATAATGAAGGGTAACGAATTCACATGGTAGTTGGAAGAAACAATTCTTGGTGATTGAAGTGAATTAAAAATGTGGTCAGCAGTCGGAAATCATAGCTAAGTTTGTAGAGCATCGTGTTGGAAACTTAGTGGTCACTGGTTGGAATCCAACCGCAGTCCAAATTTTCCTTTCACCTTCAATTATTACCTAGTATAAACTGTACTTTCGTTTAATAATGAAGGTTAAATGAAGAATAATGCACAAAGTAGATTACCTCTTTATAAATAATACTTTATTACTTAATAATTCTGTTTTTACACTGTATTCTGTTTACTTGAACATTTAATGGTCCTTTAAATTTTAGAAAACCGAAGACAAGGAAAGTGAATAAAGAGAAGATGACTGTCAAGAAGTTGAGAAAAGGGTAAAATAATCTATCAGAATGTGTTATTTATTATCCCTTATTATTTCACGTATATCCGCCTTATGAGTCCTAAGCAGAATTGAATATGTCAACGTAAATTACACTGATAGTTACTACCAAGTAAATTTATTCACTGAATATTTTTTTGGTATATTTATTTTATATTGAGCTATGATGAGAGTGTAGTGAATTTCCAAAATGAAAATATTTCCTGTGAAAGTTTAGAAAATAAGTAAATATGACCCTATATATGTCAGTATAAGTGATAAAGTAGGTTTGTTACCTACCATCACGGATAGAATTTGGATATCTCTCAGTTAATAATTAATAATTATCCCCATCATTTTATTAAAAAATTCACACAAACACATACGAAGCAAAATAATAACAGTAATATAAATACAAATAATAGTGACAACATAAGTAGAAAGGAAATCAACACCTCTGTTGTAAAACCATACAAGGAAGGAACATCAGAAACCATATGTAGGATTGATTCTCAACAAGGTTGGAATTAGGGTGGCATACAAACCAACAAACTCACTTAGAGGTAAGCTTTGTCAGCTAAAAGATCCGATAGAAGCAATTAGGCAAAATAATATACTCTACCAAATTCCATGTAATGACTGTGAGGTCAAATATATAGGTCAAACTAGCCGGTCGGGTTCAGTTAGATTAGCAGAACATAGGAATTTAGCTAAACATAGAACAGCAGACCCCAATAAGATCAATAATCTAAAAAAACACTCGACCGTTGCATTACATTCATTAACACATAGCCACACAATAGGGTGGGACAAAACCACTGTACTTAAGTCTAATATAGCTAGGTGGAGAGAGAGAGAGATTAATTACTGAATCATTGTTCATCGAATCCACACGCAACACATGTGGAATAGGAATGACGCAACACCTATACCAGAGATGCAGAAAACTTTACTACCAATCAAAAAACAAAGAGAAATCAGGTGACAGGACTATAAAATCAGATATCGAAAGAAGTGTGATTACATTGATATGATTATGAGCAATAATAATTTATGCTTGAAACGTAATCAAGTAAATAATACTGTATCACTGTGACTGGTGTATATCAAATAAACAAATCTAATATGGAATTACATTCTACCACAGTGCCCAAGTATTACACTTATATCTCAGTGAATAGTGTTATGACGTAAGTCAAAATCTTTCCCATAACCCTGGTTGGAAGATGAATCTTTGCATGATGAAACTATGAAGGATGTTTAATAATCCGTCTATTAGTTAAGACTGTCTAAGGTATTCAAATTATTGGTCCTTTCAGATGAACTGTTAAAGAAAAATAAACCAGTTTTCCCAAATAGGTGCACTATCCAAATATACTGTTGAATAGCATATGCGCTCACGCCCACTTGTACATTTCTCTAGCCAGATTATAGTGAATAAGCATGGTAGGGTCGTTTTCATCGCTAAGATTATCACTAGTTTAAGCAAACGAATTCAGCTTATACGACTGAAGTGTTCAGCTCGGCTCAGTTTTGAGATCTTGGCTGACAGGTGGTCTCCAACGTAAACCCTGTTAAAAATAAGACTGGGCAGTTGACAGATTACTCAATTGTGAGAAATATCAACGTGAACTGTGTAATTTGTTAATCATCTACACACTGATCATCCTGTTTAAGCACACTATCTAGTTTATAATGCAACTTCTGTCTCATCGTGTTGAATGTGAATTTGTCATTCACACCTTTAAACGTGTTAGATTAGTTCTAGGCAGTTATAATAAGTTTGATATTCATCAGTCGCATTCAGACAGACAGAAAGAGAGACAAAATCAACGTTGAACGTCGCATTAAAGTATATTGGCTCAAATTGCCACACTTCACAGTTTTATATAAAGAACAAGTGGATAGGAATACAGAAATGTGCATAGGAGAACAGGGAATTTAGAAACTAAGGTTATTCAAAACATTGGAGCTGTAAAAGACGTCAGGAAGTGAATATATCTCCACCATTTTCGGCCATATCATCAAAAGTCCTCAACCACGGACCCTAATCAAGTAGTTTACATTTTCTTACACAACTTAGACCAACAGTTAGAAACTTCGTCGGCTGATGCCACGTATTAGTCTGGCCACCCTGAGCTCTCTTCCAACCTAATCCAACTTCCTCTTACCATAGCAGGTCCAGGTAGGAGATGGCTCGTCGTGTGCAGTACATATCCAAACCATCTCAGCTGAATACCGTTTGTAACATTGTCTTAGCTTGTGTCAGTCACCTAACGCCTATATTGCTCACTAACATATATTGACCAAGGGGTGAAATGAAAACATGAGTCATGTCTGGGTTCAAACCGATGGCCTGTGGATAACCAGCTTCATGGTTCTATATGGTTGAGAAACTTGGCATGTTATGAAAGGGATCTCCAACAAACTACAGATATTCATCAACAACTGTCTACACTGGCTCGTTACTGAAGATGGAGATCAGATGGATTGCCAGAAATAATAAGCAACAAGAAACTCACTCCGAGAACGAACCAACCAATAAGGTTTCGGTCAAGAAATATGCACTGGAAGGAAATGGAGATGGATTGAATTGGCATACACTGAGAAGGTTGACTGGGGACATGACATGTCGGACCAGGTGTTCGAGTGGAACCCGAAGAGGAAACGACGAGTTGGGTGTCCGAGGTGAGGGTGACATGGAGGAGATGGTGTGAGGAAGAAATGAGAGCTTGTGGGCAGTCATGGAGCCAGGTTGAAAAGATTGTAGAGAAGAGAGTGGAATGGAGACATGCTACTGAAGCCCTATCTTCCATTACGAACTCAAGGGACTAATTTTAATTAATGTTATTAATGATTTAGCTCTGAATTGATGTAGACTTTTAGTATTATTTCGTAATTTTTTCGGTTTGTATTTGTTATTCTGTACCACGTTGATTGACCTGCTTTGGCATAAGTATGAATGTCTAGATATTGTTTGTTGATTCTGTATGTTTTAGTCTACTTAGTGGTTAGTAGTGGGATTGAGTGTGGACGTTTCTTCCTATTTCGATCTCGTCAGTTCTATGTACCTGCACTCTGGTGAATAACGCTGTTCCTACCCGCTGGTATACCTTAGTGGCCTAGTGGATAACGCTTGGCGTTTGGAATGATGGACGCTGAATTTGTGTCTTAGCATGCACAACATCACTTACTGATGTGCTGATATTTCAGGTCGATGACTCCCATACAGGACGAAATGCGTGTCGTATGTTCCACGGCTAACCACCATCAAGAAAATAACTACGGGAACATTTTTTGATAGTGTTGACGATCGTTAACAGCGTATCTATCTGGCTTATACAACTTTAGTGGATAGAAATTATTCTGGAAATATTTGCATTTCAAATTTCACACTATCTTACAAGTTACGTTTATTACAGATGTCATTTTGTAAGTCATATGAAGACCAGTTAGTCATACAAAGAGGAGTGGAGAAGGTATTAACATGTTCTGAATAGTAATATTTAAACCAAGACCCGAGGTGACAATATAAAGTTGCGAAAACGGGTAAATGACCCGACCGATAGCTGCTACCTTGACGTGGTGGTCGGGCTTGCATATCACAATGACCCAACGAGCTATGCTGGTGGAACGCTTGTTCCCTCGAGGTCCTACCATACCAGAAAGGTCTGTTGGGTAGTGGTTAGACGAAAAGCAGTTACCGTCATAGTGTAAATTGCTACACTATGATGGGGGTCTGAGGGCGAAGTCGTACTGCTGCTAGCTGGATGGGGTGTGACAGCAGTAAGGTGTTTCCCTTGGATGACCAGCAGTGCCAAGCTGATGCTGCCTTCTCAGTGGAAGGGGGGGTTAGAAAAGGTCGGCCCCAAAAATAACACACTCCACCACGCCCCACGGTCTGCCGGGCCGGCGGTGTTGGTTCACTTGTCGTTTCCTTTCGACCATCCGGCCCCAAAAATACAAAAATTCAAAATAATCATACTCAAAAGGCTGGGTGTGACAGGCCTCAAGCAGATGTCCGATGGGCTCTGCGGTCACACAAATCTCTTTCAGGTACCTTAAGAAGAAATAGCCTTCCACGGTGTGGGCAGCCGGGAAGTGTCAACCGCCCTCACAACTCTGTCAGCACCCAAGTTTCTTCTGACTGCTATCCTCCTCCTCCATCATTACCTTCTAATCTTCCTTCACGTCTCTTAATTAATGATGCTGCATCATCTTCAATTTCTCCTACCTCTGCAGCCTTCGACAACGATCTGAGTCCACAGAACAGTGTCCCTGGTCTCCTTAAACCACGCTCCAAATTACATATTGGAGCCTTCAATGTCCGCACCCTCCGTCAAATTGGCCAACAGGCTTCGTTGGCAAAGACTCTAGCAACTCGAGGCATGGATGTGTGCTGTGTTTGTGAGACACGCATACAGGACCCAAGTGTGGTTATTCACCTGACCTCTCCTGACCAATCTGGTGAATCTGCAAAATTCACCCTTCGAGTTTCTGGAGATTCGATAGCTAGCTCTCGTGGTCTTGCAGGTGTAGGTATAGCATTAAGCACCAGGGCAGAAAACTCACTACTAGACTGGATCCCAGTTGATAGTCGCCTCTGCGCTATGAGGCTGAACGGCACAGTGAGAACTAAAAGGAATAGTGAGACTCGCCGTTGTCTCTTTGTAATCTCTGCTTACGCACCCACTGACTGTAGTTCGGATGAAGTGAAGGACGAGTTCTACCATAAACTGTCTAACCTCCTCTCGAAAGCCAAACGTTCGGACGTAGTGGTTGTTGCAGGTGACCTCAACGCACAGGTGGGTAGACTGAGTGAGGCAGAAAGGCACTTAGGTGGCACTTTCGGAATCCCAGCTGAACGTACAGATAACGGTGATCGCCTATTACAACTATGCTCAGATAACCGCCTATTTTTAGCCAGCACAAATTTCAGACATAAAGAAAGGCACTGTCTGACCTGGCGTCCACCGAGCTCGACTCAGCGATGGACACAGATAGACCACATTGCTATTAGTCATCGCTGGAGAGGATCGGTGGAAGACTGCCGCTCCTTCTGGAGTACGTGTTTGGACAGCGATCATGCGTTGGTCCGAGCACGTATATGCCTGCGTCTCAATGGACGTAGAAAAAATTTGGCAACAAAACCACTACGAGTTCTGCTGGACAACGAAAACACCAAAGCCGTGTTCAGTGAGAAGTTGGCTAGGCAGTTATCGGAACAAAAGACTGTCACTCATCCAGAAGAAGCTTGGTGCCATCTTCAGTCTACTGTAAAAGCAGCACTGGAGACTGTAGCCGACTCCAAGATAATGGCTAAAAAGAGCCAGTGGATATCAGCAGCTTCTTCCAAACTAATGGATGCACGTGAATGCATCCCTGCAGGCTCTGAGTACAATGAAGAGCGAGCGCAACTTAAAAATAAACTGACGAAAAGTCTGCGCAACGATCGTGAACAGTGGTGGGCAGCAAAGGCTAAAGAGATGGAAAAGGCAGCGGCGATCGGTAACAGTAGACAGTTATTTAGACTTATTAAGGAGACTGGGGGGAAATGGTCAACAACAGTTAGTGAGGTTATAGCGGAGAAGGACGGATCGGCGATTCACTCGCAGGGAAGGCGACTGGGACGATGGGCAGAACACTTTGAGGAACAGTTTAACTGGCCTCCAGCCACCATTGCGCTGCCCGCTATCCAGTCGGACCCTGAATGGGACATAGAGACAGGTCCCCCAACACTAGAAGAAGTTGAGAAAGCGGTAGGTAGCCTGAAACGGGGAAGGGCAGCAGGACCAGACGGACTACCTGCTGAGGTATACAAGAATGGTGGTAGAGTTCTCTTAGTCAGGCTAACGGAAGTGTTAGCCAGTATATGGGAATCAAATACGATCCCCTCCGACTGGTCTAAGTCACTGATCATCCCAGTCTTCAAGAAAGGCGAGAAGTCCTCTTGTGATAACCACAGAGGAATCAGCCTGACAAACATAGTGTCTAAGATCCTAAGTTCTATAATTCTCCGACGCCTGAGTGGAGCTCGGGAACAGCAAGCCCGAGAAAACCAGGCAGGCTTTAGACCTGGCCGTGGATGTATCGACCAAATATTCACACTGCGCCAGGTCCTGGAACATAGGCATGCTTACAGACGCCCGACAATAGCTGTATTTCTCGACCTGAAGGCGGCATTTGACTCCGTTGATCGAGAAGTCTTATGGCAGTGTCTGTCACTGAAAGGCGTGCCTAGTAAGTACATCACCTTATTGAAAGCTCTCTACTCGAACACTTGTGGGCATGTTAGAGCCTATGGTGAGTTGTCCAGGGAGCTATACTCATCAAGTGGTGTCCGTCAAGGATGCCCACTATCCCCATTCTTATTTAATTTTATCATAGATATTCTTATGGAGGTTTCCCTCTCGTCACCTAATTACAAAGACGTTGACCGGATCACAGGTGAATTTTCCTTAGATCTAGAATATGCAGATGACATAGTCCTGTTAGGTGAAGACGCTGACAAGATGCAGAGTCTTCTGAACACTTTGAGTGGGAATTTGAGAATGTTTGGGATGCGATTTTCACCACCCAAATGCAAATTTTTGCTCCAGGACTGGTCTTCAGCGGTACCGCGGTTAACAATAGAGAGTGAAGTGGTTGAGTGTGTTGACCACTTCACTTACCTGGGAAGTAGGATCAACTCCGGTGGGTTAGTTGCCGATGAGATTTCTGCACGGATACAAAAGGCTCGATTGGCTTTTGCCAATTTGCGCCACCTATGGCGCCGCCGTGATATTCGTTTGTCTATTAAGGGTCGCGTGTACTGCACAGCAGTCCGCTCTGTTCTACTGTATGGCTGTGAAACATGGCCATTGAAAGTGGAAGACATGAGAAGGTTACAGGTATTTGACCACCGTTGCCTTCGTAGTATAGGACGTATTCCGTGGTGTCACCATGTGAGTAATGCAGAAGTTAGGTGTAGAGTTTTAGGGAGAAGAGGTAAGTCAGTCGACGAGGTTGTGAACCTTCATCGACTGAGATGGTTGGGACACGTACTACGTATGCCTAGTCACCGATTGCCTCGTCACACAATGTTGGCTGAGGTGGGTTCAGGCTGGAAAAAGGCCCGAGGTGGCCAGACTAAAACATGGCACCAATGTATGAAGTCTCTGACTGTTGGTTTAAGCCATGTAGGACGATGCAGACTAGGTGGTTGGGGTCCACGGGACAAGAGGAACCAGTGGTTGGAGACCCTAGGTGATATGGCTCAGAACCGAAGTCAGTGGCGCAGATGTATACACACATTATCCTCATCTTAACAACGCTATACCGAATCTCACTATTTTGTCACTCCTCTTTCCTTTCTTCTCATACTTTATATTTCTTTTGACTGCATTCACTTATCTTCATCCTTCACCTCACTACCTTTTTACTTGATGTGCTGATATGAGGTGTGGCAACTCGGACCGTTACGCAGTAATGCCTGGTCCTATGTTGATGATGATGATGATGATGATAAATGAATAATGAAACTTAATGCATGAACATCCTGGAACTGTTGATGAGCAGCAACTATCCATCATAGTATCATAGTCTTCACTGATCATGAAAATCCTGGAAGATCAAAGCTGATCTGTGAGTGTAAGAAGGATATTTATCGGTAAAAAAGGGCATTAAAAAAATGCCGAGTAAAAGATTCTATAACTTGTTCATATAGTATACTGGAGTGCCTATCCAATGGAACATAGGGTTTCAGTGGCACGTCGCCATTTCACTTTGTCCTCTACAGTCTTTTCAACCTGGATCCATCACTGCGCACAAGCTTTCACTTCTTCCTCACACCATCTCAGCTCATATGCAAAAGGTCCGTTCTGCATTTACCAATCGTTGACATTTCCGGCGCTGGTGGTATACCCAACTATCTAATAAAGGGCGAGTGACTGCGCTGCAGTTCACTGTATCTTATTATAGGGTTGAGACATAATTCGTGAGAAAATATATGAAGAAGTTACAAGTTCTAACAACAGATGTCTTCATAGTACTGCTCACGCATGGGGAATCCTTGTGTGGGTCATATGAAAGTTAGGCGAAAGGTGATAGATAAGGAAGATACGTTGGTCGGTAGGGTTGTGAACTTTCACAGACTGATGTGGCTTGAACATATTTTGCCCATACCGCCACACCACCTATCTCAACGTACAATGTTAACCATCTCCTCCATGTCACCCTCGAACGCCCAACTCCTCCTTGTTGATCCTTTCTGGCATTCCCATCCGGTCTTCAATACGGAGTGAGCGTAGGTGGCAGCTGTTGATGGTGTATGTCTGCAGTTTGTTAAAAATGCTTTTCGTAACGCTCCAAGTCTGCGAACCATATAGAAGCATTGACTTAACATTATTCTTGAAAATCTCATGGTCAATAATGGGATCCCAACTTTGAAGGTTAATAACTCTCACCCCAAAGCCTAGTGGTTTAAATTGTTGATATCTCCTTTTGCCACTTTTTGTCAAGAAGTATCTCCCACTGATAAAAAGCGTGTAGAGACGGAGGACACACGAACGTTAGTGGTTACACATGGTACACCTTGCACTAACCCAGTCATCTGCAAATATGCTTCGTTCCTCTTCTGTTCTTCTCTTGATTTACTCTTGATCAGCTCTTCATACATTCTTATCAGCAGCATCCACTGTAATACGCCTGCTTTATCCCTTGCGTTGCTCTTGGCAGAAACCTTACCCATTGTCGGTAGTTCACTATGATTCCTGCCACCCTTTCTCTCAACATATGCTACTTATATCTATTGTGATCAACAACGCCCACTACATGAGCAGTCAGTGTCCTTGGTTAACTTGTGAATTCTTTCTGATTTCTAGCCAGTCTTCTTGAAGAACTAAAAACTATAGTAACTTTAAAATAAAAGTAGTGCCAGAACCATTTAAAATTCTTCATGTACACGGCTAAACTACGGAAGAAGAGTAGTAATTATTCCTCACCTTCAAATATATCCTAGGACAACTCAGCTTTCTATTTTGCAAAGGAAGTGGTCGTTTTCAGTGTCATTCTCAGCATAGATTACTATCAGATGGGAAACCATTCAAAAGCTGAGAGCATTAGGTTAGTTCAAAACTTGTGAGAAACAGCTATTCAGCGCTACCCATCGTTATTTATAGAATCTAATCCAAGGTACATGTCTTGATGTTTCATACCAATGTTAAGTTAAAGAATTCTCATCGATTTGAGAAAGCGGTAATTGTTATGTGTGCATTTTTTTCCGCCTTGCAAATGTTTCCTAAATCATTTCACTAGGAATGATGGATAATGGCCAAAAGTGGAATCGAGAACGCGTGTCTAACACTATTTGAGACTCACTGGACAAGGATTGAATGTTGTAAAGCAGCAGCTCAGTGGATGATAACCTGTTGTTCAAAGTGAAAGAGGCTGGATCTGAGTCCAAATGGGGTAAGCATCATTGACTGGGAAAAAGATAAAACCAGCTAACGAACTCTAAATAGAACGAAACGCATGTAATTAATTTACCTCCAACCCACTTATCGATCAATAATGCACTTTCATGCGAGTTCATAGGTCAATATTAGTTTATGAATGGTATCTCATCAACAAACAGAAACTCTATAGGCTATAAAATACTTCTGATAACTTTCAAATTTATCCTAAATAACTAATTATTTATTTTTTTGGTCTCTAATTGAAAATACCACTTTTCAGTAAGCATATGGTTACCAAGTAAGTAAACAAATGAATATTTTGCGTCAGAAAGTTTTTATTAAACAATGTTCTTCACTCTTTCCATGATATTCAAGCTAAAGTACCATTAACTAACAATGTGCCTTCAGTGAAAAATTACATTCAGGACTGGGTTTAAAGTACTAAGACCAATTATTATTGACAATTTACTTCCTCCATAATGAGTATCACCTCTAAATCAGTCAATCTTTCTAAACCTGATGATGTAACTTCCGTCTAATATTCGTGAATGACACCTAAAAGATTGGTTTTCTCAAGTTTTAATGAGAAGACGTGTGGCATCAACTTAGTTGGGTGTTAAAACAAATACTAACCAGCAGTATTACATGATGATTGCGCTCTACGGCGAATTGACAGAAGTTGGAAAATATGAACCATTGGACTTCGACTTAGTGGCTCAATGGTAAGGTGCTCTTCACAGGACCTGACGTCTCTAGGTTCGACCTTTGGTAGGATTGTGAGTACACTACTGAGGAGTCCCCTACTACGGTGTAACAGCTCTGCGTTACTCCCACGTTTTCAGTGGCTCTCCTCATCATATCATTTCGTGATGAATACTATCTTGTAATTTTATTACCGTTCTGGATGCTATGCTGTGCAAGAAGTGTTACTTAATATACCTTTTTATCGAAATAATTTAGACGGTATCCAACACCGCAGTAAGTCATAAAAAAGAATTTTATTCAGCATATCTATTCATTATAATATACTTAAGTGTTTAATTATGTAAAAAATATAGTTTTTGTAATTTGCTAGTAAATAGCCAGTCAAGCATGAATCACCGCTGTGATACATCGAAGATCGATGTTTTTGATGAAAGGATATGTCCAGGGACATCAGTCACACGGAATGAACAATTCAACTGATATCAGGGAATCATTTTCTGCAAAACTATTGTTTCAACCGTTAGAATTGTCTTGAGCGAGATGTACGAACCACGTTTACTATACAAGATGATGCGTGTTTACTTCCTGGATATCTCATCAATTGTATACAGATTGAATACATAGATAAAACTCATTGTATGAAAATATCTAAGGTACTTTGTAAATAAGATTTTCGGGTATCAATTGATATTCTCATGTTGACGGCTTAGAAAACAAAATGATAAACAATGAAACATTGAAAATCTTCAATGGTATGAAGGCGGATATTTTTGGATGATAAAGAGAAAGTTAGAGTATCTAATATTTTGGTGATATCAAAAACCGTAACTTTTGAAGTCAGACAACTGGGAAGTAAAAATCATTTGTCGTCTGATGACTTCATTTGATGACGGTGAAGGAAGTGGGGTCTTGGCTGCTCTGCCTGTTCTACCAACTTTTCAGTTCTCGCTTGTACATCTTTGAGCTTGTGAGATATAAGACACTAGACATAAATCATCATCGGCGAAATGCAAATCGTGTAGGGTCTTTTCATCGGTCAAACGGTGTGTGGTCATCTTCTCGCTCCTAACAGTTCCTTGCATGATCCAGTCCAGTCCAGTCGAGTCGACTACAATGAGGAAGATCATTGGTGATAGTAGGTAGCAGTCTTGTCTTGTCTTACTTGTCAACCTGTCTTCACTTCAAAGGCATCACTCAGCTGTGCATTGTGAATCACTTCGCATGAATCATCATTGTATAGGTGCTGTTGAATGAAGTCGATAAAGGTTTGTGGCACTAAAATTGTAGTATTGAAATATCTGCTAAATTACTTCTCGGTTGACGCCTTGATCGTAGGCCTCTTCAAAGTGGATGAAGTTGAGGTGAGGAGTTGACTGCCATTCTATGCTTTGTCCTATGATGATGCGTAGCGTAACGCTGAAATTTGATTTATTCTTCCTGAATCCAGCTAGCCAGCCTGTTCCGGTTGTAATTTTGAATCCAGCGCATCCTCTAGTCTCTCCAGGATGATGCGACATAATATTTTGCTTGTTGTGGACAGGAGCATGATTCCTCGCCAGTTGCTGCAAGGACTTAGGTCTCCCATATTTGGGAGTTTGACAAGGTAACCCATCTTCCAATCTTCAGATACCTTTCCTTTCTTCCAAACTTTCTGCAATAGTGGTGTTAAAATGTTCGCTGCTGATGTTTCTGCGTCTGTTTTCAGTTCTTCTAGAGGAACTGCATCTGCTCCTGCTGCTTTCCTGGCTTTGAGTAACTTTAAGGCTTTCAGGACTTCTGCTTTTGTCAGAGGGTTTGTATTTACCGATAATTCTATGGTTGGGCTGTTGGTGGTATTTCTGGACGAGTTGCAGATGGTGGTCGATTCAAGGGCAGACAACAGGACCGCTTAAATCAGGACTAATTGCAGAAGCAGTGGTGCAAAGATTGAAAACTGTGTCGTTGTGGCTGATCAAACCAAAACTTTTGGTCCGATAAGTAGATGACACGTTTTCATCATTAAAAGAAACAAATAAGGAAACAGTCTTACAAATTACTCAGGAGCATTTTTGACGTCATCAAACTAACAACTGAGATGGAATCAAACAACAAACTTGCATTTTTAGATGTTCTGATCACTAGAGTAGATTCGGGAAAATTGGAGACTTAAGTTTACAGTAGCAACAATCCAACAACACATAAAATAAGTTGCATAAAAACACTGTAAATCAGCTTAAATGAGAAGGGGAAAAAGCTATTTAATGTCTGTTTCCAGGAGAACGGCTATGCATATAACCTAATCAGAAAACATTTGTCTAATTCGTTGTCAAACAAAACGTTATCCCTTGAAACCAAAAAATGTGTTATCCTACCTTACGTGAAGAAGATCTCCGAGATAGCAACTAGATTACTGAAGCCTTCTGGAATCATTTGAGCTCATATGCCTGGAAAAAATCTTCCCATTATCTGTCATGAAAGCCTAAAGATACAGTAGCAAAAGAAGATAAGCTAAACGTTATCTAAAAAATCAACTCCAGGAACTATGAAAAGCACGATATCCAACAGAATGGTTTCTCTCTTTCCACCCCTCTAATTGAATATCTATTGTCAGTGAAGTGCCATGATATTTTTTAGATCAGACAATTGTGGACACGAATTTGATTGGGTAAATGGCGAAATCCTGGATTAAGGCAAAACAAAGAATGCTAAAGAGCTTTTAGAAGTTTAGCATTCAGGTCAGTCAGTGATCAACAGACATACCAACACTAACTCATTCTGTCAATCAATAAGAAAAACAAGAAACAGCAAAACCGTCAAAGTTCACATCCGCAGAAAAACTGATCGAAATACATATGGAGGCAATGAAATGATTTTGGCTGAGACAACCAGTCACACACGAGACTTTTAAGCCAAGCCATTAAGCCACTTTCAGAGAAAAACCCATAGATCACTTCTTTCAGAAGTTTGTTCATGATGATGTTGTCTACAGTGACTATGTAACTTTCACGAATAAATTATCCAGTAAAGAAAGACACAACACCATGAAAATCATCATCCTAAGCTACAAATATACTTCATCATTCAAGATGCTATCCATCATGAACTGGCGTTGGTTGGTGAAATGCCTACAGAAACGTGTTTTAGCGGTTTACCAATTACTGTCAGTCCATGATGAATGTCACACTCCAATCAATCCCTACTAACCTTAAAACTCAACTATGAAATTTTGTTAACTTTGTAATTATAGGCCTCGTCCTCCTGTCTACTTGTAAGTAAATATGATCAAGTTTATTCAATGGCTGCATAATTCAAGTTTTGAATAATGTCTGTGAAACTGGAAGTTTTAACTTGAAATGCTATTTCTCTCCACTAAATCTAAGCGACACTACTCTCCTTATATGTGATTAAGGATACTGACAGATGAAGATTTGCTTGACTGGAACATCTTCATCAAGTTACTGAATGATTTGTATGTCTCTTTTGTTAACTGTGTTAAAAGTAGACAGTAGTAATGGGTTTATTTCAAACTAGACTTGTGATATAGCATGGCATTCTCAGTATGTACTAGTTTTGAGGGAGTTGTGGAGATTCGGAAATATTTCAAGTTGTTATTCATCGTAGACTGACATCAGTTGGACAGCTGTTTCGCCCTAGTATGTGATTCCTCAGCAGTGCACACCCACGATCCCGCACCATCAGGGATCGAGTCTGCAACCTTCAGGTTCCGTGGCCAGCACGTTACCATTGAACCAATGGGTCAGAATCCAGTGGTCCACATTTCCAACTTTTGTTAGCTCACTATATAGCGCAACCGCCACCCAATATCATCGTTGAGTAACTGTCCTCACGACCATCAGGCTTTGTCCCCACCGGTCACGACTTCTCATTGGAACTTCGGGAATACCTTTCGAAGCTAGTCCTCCAACTGATGTCAGTCTACGGTGAATAACAACTTGAAATATTTCCAAATCCCCGCAACTCCCTCAAAATTCAATCATATATTGCAACAGACTTAGCTGTGTTGATCAGGATTTGAAGAGCTAAAAATGGTAATGTTTTTGGTATACGATATCTGACGTTAAAAGTTTTATTAGAATCTATTTCATGTTCTGTATTGGCTGGGTGTAGAAGAATGGAACTTTTCACAACTTTCACTTCCTATTTTTCAAGCCAAGTCATTACATTTCCTGGTATTGGGAGATGCATATATGTAATGATGAGCTCTATATGACTTAATACACAGAAACAAATAAACTGATGTATACAAGATGAGGGAGGAACTTAGATCCTTTACTTTCGGACTGAGCTTTAGTCGACTACTGTAAGACAAACAAAGACAACGTGCATATTTCAAGCTTCACTTCGAAATTGAACTCTTCATCGGTGTATTCTTTAAATAACTAGATCAAATTTGAGTATAGTAACTTCACTCATTAGTACCACGTCTAGTTTTAGTCACTTTCTGGATTCACCCTAAACACTTTAACTAACATCAGTACCCTCAGTGTTCTAAATAGTTGAAAATACAGCTTATATCTCTCTATCTATTTCATCAGTGTATCGAAGACAATATTAGTGTTTGTTTCCGTTTTAAGTCACTTCGTCAAAACTTTCTTCAATACATATGAATCATTCATCCATTGATCCATCCAAATCAACGTAGGATCAGGCATTACTGCGTAACAGTCCAAGCTGCCACAGATCATATTAGTACATAAAGTAAAGAGATGAAGAAAAGAAAATTCAGTCAAAAGAAATATTAAGTGCTCAAAGAGAGAGAGAGAGAGAAAGGAAGAATGAGAAAATGATGAGATTTGGTTTAACGTTGACATGAGGATAATATGTATGGGGATACATCTGCACTACTGACGTCAGTTCTGAGCCATGTGATCACCTAGAGTCAGTCCCTAACCACTGGTTCCTTTGTCCCGTAGACCCCAATAGCACAGTCTGTATCGGCCCACATGGCTAAAACCAACAGTCAAAGACTTCATGCATTGATGCCATGTTTTAGACTTGCCACTTTGGGCCTTTATCCAGCTTGAACCTACCTCAGGAAACATTGTGTGACGAGTCAGATAGTGACTAGGTATACACAGAACCAGCCAGCTATCTCAGTTCATGAAGGTCTATAACCTCATCAACTGATTTTTCTATTCTCTCTAAAACTCTACACCTGACTTCTGCGTTACTTACGTGTTGACACCATGGAATACGGCCTATACTATGAAGGCAACGGTGGTCAAACACTTGAAGCCTTCTCATGTCTTCCACCTTCAATAGCTATATTTCACAGTCATACAGTAGAACGGAGACGGACTGCTGTGCAGTGCACGTTACTCTGAATAGAAAATTGTATATCACGGCAGTGCCATAGGTTGTTGTATTTCACTTCTCTTTAGGGAAATATCTTATTCATCGAGAACCAAGAAAATAACTGATATTGTTCATATTTTGCTGATTATACAAACAACTTGTTTGCTGGGGTAATGACATCAAGCTGTGCTTGTAGGATAAGAAGGAGCTACGATAACTAATTGACTTATTAGATCACGCTCTTGCGTTTGAATTAAAAGTAGTTGAGTTCCAGTCTTAGTAGGAACAGCTTCACTCACTGGGAGATAGGTACAGTGAACTGACAGGTCCCAAATGCGACGAAACGCATGTAATACTTGCCATATTTCTTCATTACTATCAAACTTATAAGTGAATTGTGTTATCCTTAAAAATCTCCATTATTATTCAGAAGTCATTTGAGTGAACGAAGAATACTCTTCCAGACAACTTCTTCACCTACTACAGTTGTATGTAAACACTGTGGAATTTAGCTTCAATAATATTCAGACTTCATCCAATAATTTGTGAATCATATTACATAGTTGAGGAATTCACTTCAGGAAGCGTTTTATGTCAGCCTTAATCATGGAATCAATTATTACTGGAAGTCAGTTCAAAGTAGTTGATTATATAAACAATTATAAATACAGTTTATATATTACAGTAAGGTGACGGTTTGATAAAACGATAAGAAAGTGTTTATGAGAGTTCGAAGAAATAAACTGAGAAAGATAATTTCTGGGACAACAGCTTCATATAATGGTACTTATATTAGGGGACAAAAGAGGTTAAGAAGACACGCCACAATTACTTCAGATTATGGGGATGAAAATCTTATTTACAGGATGGAATTAGAAGATTAAATTAGGTAAGGAATTTGTGAGTCCCGAATCAGGCCAAGTTAGTTGCATTTTTATTTAATCATGATTGCCACTGATTCTGCGGTCTGTTAGATTCGGAACTGGGTGCCTTTTGACAGGAAACGACGTATTCCTATACGTCTTATGATATGTTTGAACTGAGTGTGTCAATATGGAGGTCTTCAGCATACCTTTTTTAAACCATGCTGGGGAGTATTCATGAGCACACCGAATAGTGACACTGAGATTGAAGGATCAACTAGCCAGACTGGGCACTTACTGTTAAGTTTATCATTTTGACTGCTCCTATGGACCCAGTTAAACATTCCTTGGAATCCTACCCCAGGCAATCTAATTTTATAATCTCCTACTGTAGATAACTCCTCGTGCCAACAATATGAAAAAAAGTTTATCATATTCTCTTGGTATGTTTTGTTCCCTAGCATACGTAACATTCTGTTGAGCTATTATTTCACAAATTATCTTCCTTCGTTTATTGCGTCCACCCCTCATCAACACCTTCCTGCTTTTTATTAAACTATCACCTTATTACATTACATATGTCGTATAATCGTTCAGGTAATCAGTTATTACCATTTGACCATCTGAGATAGAGTTAGTTTCCCAGACTAGTATTTATACTGGGTGATGATTAGAGGTGGAATGAAAATCTGAACCGCGGCCGGATCCGAACCAGCTAAGTTGGTAGGACACCGAGCCGGTAATCCGGTGGTCGCCGGTTCGAATCCAGCTGTAGTCCAGATTTTCATCTCACCTTCAATCCTCACCCAGCATTAATACCAGTTTGCCAAACTATGGCTATCCCAGATAGTCAAATGATAATCAGTATTATGCTCCGTCCCTCTAATTCAGCTAGATTTGAATTTAGATGAGAAGTCCTGACTGACTAGGCAGCCAGTGTGAATACGATCATGTGGTAGTAACGCGTCACGAATTTACATGGCAGTCGGATAAAACAACCCTTGGTGATTGAAATGAAATAAAATGTGGTCAGCAGTCGGACCTCATAGCTCAGTTTGTAGAGCATCGTTTTGGAAACCCGGTGGTTGCTGGCTAGAATCCTACTGTGGTCCAGGTTTTTAATCATCACACAGTATAATGAGTTATTTTCAATTGAACTCCAGTAACAGTTGATTCTGACATTAACGTTCACACAAGACTTCTTCAACTGTATAATATGATCAATGAACAGTAAGCTGGGATCTTGCCATGCTTTAACTTTATCTTCTAATTAACCTGTTCTTCTAAGAGTGTGAGTTCCTGTAAAATGCCACTAAACGCAAGACAAAACAAGGAACATGATTGTCATAATGATATGTGTCCTTTTGTTAAATGATTTTAGCTACAATCCACAATTAAATTTGTAAGTTGAAATAAACAATTCACTCTGGTCAACTACAACAAATAGCAGTTTTATACCTACCATATCAATGTACATCCAGCTGACGAGTCCTAAATAGAACGAAATGCCCAACCTGGATTCCATTGGCCATCATAACTATATGAAATTATATCAGTTTCCAAAAGTTTCCAACATTTTTCGTTTGACATTTTTATTTGACAGCTGTTTTCATCATGGATTCATACCAGGTGGAGGAACATTGGAAATCTAGGAGCACTGGACAGGTGTTTCATCCTAGTATGGGACTCTTCAGTAGTGTTCATCCTCAACCATACCAGGGATTGAATCCGTGACCTTAAAGTTTCGTGACTAGCACGTTATCATTAAGCCAATGTCATCATTGAGTATTTGTCCTGCCGGTTACCAGGTTTATGATGAATACCAACTTGAAAACTGTCAAATTCAATTAAAAGCTGAAGTTTCTGTTATGAAGTGAAATAAAATTTTCAAGATCTTTCAAAGAAGCCCTAAATCTCTAAACTATTTTACAAGCATTGTGCTTCGACGTTTCGAGAAAAGACATGCGATCATATGTGCAGGTAGCAGATTAATTGAAGAGGCATGATCGATAGTGGGGGGTATTTCAATAAAGGGACAGAACGGCCTATATATATATCACTTGAAGAACATGATATTCAGCGAACAGACTCTTCTCAACGGAGTCATTTTCAAGCTGTACAATCGTGTATATATATATATATATATATATATATATATATATATATATATATATATTTATATATAATTTGAGAAATCATATCCCATGAGGAAAACTAAACACTATATTGATGATAATGATGACAATGCTAATAGAGCAGATGATGACATAGACATTTCAGTAATGCAAAAATTCCCATTTAGACATTTAGTAAAACAAACAATGTGAGTGAAGAAATATTTCTTTTCAATTAGTTCCTCATCAATGGCTCCATACTAATATAAGTAGCATTTTCAAACGTAAAATTACATACCAATCTAGTGGTAAGAGTTGTTCAATGAAAGGTTATCAATCTCAAAGTATCAAGAAGGTGATAATTGATCAGGTAATTAAGACAGTGTTAACTAAAGCAGAGATTAATTATCGTAGAAAGATTTTGTGGACAGGTTCTTACATAATTGACATTTTGTGTAATGGTAACTAAAGAGCAAAAATGAACTGTTACGTAAAATGGTAAATTGTTGACGGTAATTCCAGACAGTAGGGGGAGAGGAAGATGGCTAAATCTGTGATAATAATAATAATAATAATAATAATAATAATAATAATAATAATAATAATAGTAATGGAGCTATTAAAATATTAGTTATAGTGAATTGTGTGGTGGATGGAATGAAGAGTCTTGTTGTAATGAATGAGCTATGCAGATGGCCAAGGCAAAAAAGAGGCTGTACGAATCTCTTCTGAACACACAGACTTGGCTTGTGTAGGTGGATTCCTATGGCTTCTGCTGCATGTATGCTTTGGTTAACTGTCTTAATTACCTGATCAATTATCACCTTCTTGATACTTTGAGATTGATAACCTTTCATTGAATAACTCCCACCACTAGATTGGTATGTAATTTTACGTTTGAAAATGCTACTTATATTAGTGTGGAGCCATTGATGAGGAACTAATTGAAAAGAAATATTTCTTCACACACATTGTTTGTTTTACATAGACATTTGTAATCATGATAACAAAGCAGATTATGTAATGTACGGAATGGTTCATAGGAGGTATATAACTCAGAAGGGGGTGAGACAATTGATGAAAGTGGTAAATCAATTAAGTATTATGTAATAGGATTAGACAGGTTGGACAAAATGAAATCAATGTTTTCTAAAAAGATTAAGTGAAATAACACTCCAGAAACTAATCAAAGTGAAGGTAATTATGATAGCAATAATAGTGATAAAGGAAGGATACAAAGGGGGATAGAAAGATTAAATTAAGAAAGGGGGAGGGGGAGCTAATGGGGTGGGAAAATGTTATGGCCATGATAAAAACAGTGATCACTGCACATACTTCTTTTGTACACACAGATGAGGTTTTAGTTCATGAATAGTTAAAGCCTCCACTATTTTAAGGAGTTGAAAACATAGAGAAGTTGAGAGGTTCGGGTGAATTCGATAGATAGTTTTAAAGACATTGTCTAGATTTGTTGTGTGATGGGAGTCAATCAAATATTCTAGAATCGAACTTCTAACCGACTTTCTTTCATCTTTATAAAACCCAGCAGGAACATGTTCTCGTATACGTGTAGAAAGCATTCTGTGACTATGGCCGATGTACCTTGCTCTAGAAGAGTAGGTGAACTGGTAGATGCATAGAGAGGCGGCCAAATATCATATATATATATATATATATATATATATATATATATATATATATATATATTGCCTTTTCTATTTACTGAGGAATTGAGTGACCATCAGTATTGCAGTCTGAAGATTCATGTTCAAGCAATCACATATTATTTGTATGACCATGTTATGTTAGTTCTTTTTCATTCAACAAGATTTTGTTTTTCTGTACACAACTGTGTTATTCTAGAATTTTTTTCCTCGATTTTTTGCATACAAATATTTAGTGAAAATCTTACATTCACAAAGTAAATAAAACACTTTTTCAATTAATTTTATAGATAGTATTGATGTTTATGCATTACTTTACATGAGATTATATCATATTAATGGTCAGAAATAAACTTTTGTGTTACCGTGATTAATAATAATGTAGTTGCAAAGGAGAATAATCAATAGATGATAAGATTTTACAACTCTGAGAGAGCATAGATTACCCTAGGTTACACATACACCTCCAAATATGTCAAAATGTCCACCGCTTCCTCTTGATTGGCTCTAACCGTCTGAAAGCGAACACTAAGAACAATAAGGTTTAGTCCTCTAGGTTGGTCACAATAATTTGATTAGTAATTAAGATCAAGTGATATGAAAAAAATTGTTTTTCCCAGTAATCAGTTAGTGTATTTCATTCACTTTTATAGGGTACAGTTAAATGCCATCAACGATGGTGTTTCTAATCTCTTAGCTAGCATCAGTTCTTTTAAACAGAATGCTAACTGGTAAAAATATCCAGAGATATTTGTTCTCATGGTTTGACAGTAACAATACAAGTCTACTAGACCACAGCTATCTTAGATTACCAACCTGATAAAGGGTATGATGCTCCAACTCTCTAATTCACACAGATTTGGATTGGGGTGAAAAATTCTGACTGGTTAACCGGTACGATTTCGATCAAGCGTTACGAATTCAAATGACAGTTAAACGAAATCCTTTGTGATTGAAATGAAGACATCAGTAAATGTAGCTTATTCCGTTCACTTTTCAAAAATTACTTTTGAAGTGAGTGGACGATTGTAAGTAGGACCCAGGTAACTGTGATATTATTTTACTCGTCAACTATGTCAGAGATTTTCACTTGAAAAGAAAAAAGATTTGAATCTTTCTCAGTTGAATAGAGTAGTTCTTCAAAAAAGTACAGAAAATAGTCTACTTGCTGGCTAGCAGTGAAATGCAAGACCCTCACTTCGTCCTGTTTGGGACTCGTCAGCTAAATTTACCTACACCCTTGTGAATATTGTTCCCAGTGAGACTCGAAACCTAATACCGCTGGCTTCAAACGCTGAGACGTCATTTACTAGGTCACGAAGGAATGAGTGCCACTTTTTGTACAACAGGGAGTCAGTTATTGTTTATTGGTACGTGTTATTTCCTGTGAGAACAACACCACTTACTTAGGTGCAGCTACATTCAGCTAACAAGCACTATATAAGATGAAACGTGAGCTGTGGATCCATTGATAGCTATGAAGTATTGTGGCATTCATGTGGGAGCCTCTATGTCAACAGCAATTGAGTAATTCAACCCAGTATAGAATAGGGAGATTATGAGTACTAGTGAACAGTATTGAAGAACCAAGCACATTTGAAATTCTCCTCAGAACGAAATACCAAAAAAAATACAACAATATGAATTCAGAAGTAGTATTCAACATGGACTGGCATCAGTTGGGGAACCATTGGAAACCTGGGCGCACTGGACAGTTGTTTTGTCATGATGTGGGACACTTCAGCAGTACTCACCCACAATCTGGCTTAGGATCGAGCTCGAGACCTTCAGGTTTCACGGCGAACATGTTAACCATCCAGTCACTGGATCAGTTTTCAGTGGCTCACAGTTTCCAACTTGTTGCAATTCACGATATGGTGCGACTATCACCCCAGGTCTTCAGTTAACATCCACTTCGCTTCACTTATAAATTAAAAAATCCCCATTCATCTCAAAAATATGAATTCAGTTTAATTTAGTGTTGAGTATCAGAAGTTGTTCAACTGCATAGAAATATTTGTCTCTATCAGGTACAGAGATATGCCACTGACCAGTTTGCCTTAACAAACAACAACACAATAGCGGTTATCAGTTTTCTTGAAATCGTATAAAATATTCAGTCAATTCATTTCATTTTTCTCATGTTATTGAATTGATGCTGATGACGATGTACGGGACATCAGTGAAACAACATTTATCAACCCAACATCTAAACTCATAGAATAAATAAGTCTGAAAGTATGAATTTACCAATGGTTATAAAATAAGCTTGTTAGCGAGTATCAACACAGATGAAACTTATATCACATGAATGTAACCAATTCTATGAAGTTACTACACTGTGCAGATGTTTTGAGTAACAATGGTAAAACTGTCATCCACTCGGATGCAGGTACATCCAAGTGAGATGCAAATCTTAAATTCTACCTTCAGTCTCAATCCATCCTTACTGTCTACTTATTTGTTATGATGATAAGATTATTCAATTCCCTTCAGTGAGAATATTACATTCTCAGTCATTTGAAATTAACTCTGTACTGAAATTAAGAAGTCAGTATTGTTTACTGCCTCTAAAATCAAGTTTAGAACCATTCACAGTTTGGTGTATAATAGAATTCATAATTGTTGTAGTGAAGGCAACATTACTGATTCACTAATCCACTTACCTAAATTATATTCGTCTTTGTTCCATATCACAATGTAATTTATTATTATTATTTGTCCCTTGGGTTCCTAGTGGAACTTAGGGCTTCAGTAGGACGCCTCCATCGCACACTCTTCCCTGCAGTCTTTTGAACCTGGCTCCCTGACTGCCCAACACGTTTTCATTTCTTCCTCACACGATCTCCTCGCCCAACTCGCCTTTTCTTATCTGCATTCCACTCGAGTGCCTAGCATATGATGTCCCTGAATGATTTTTTCAGTGCATGCCCTTATCCATCTCCACTTCCTTCTGCATACTTCTTCAGTGATAGGTTCTTGGTTGGTTCGTTCCCAGAGTTCCTTGTTATTTATTCTTTCTGGCCATCTGATCTTCAGTAACAAGCCAGCGTAGGCAGTTATTCATGAGTATCTGTAGTTTGTTGGAAGTGCTTTTCGTAACGCTCCAAGTCTTTGAACCATATAGACTGAATTGATGTTGAAAATCTAGATCTTGTTCACGCTTTATGCTCAGTACAGTGCAGAAGATCTTCACACTGGTTTCAGATTAATGAACGTCTGTCTTAGTGTCTTTCCAATCCTGGGTTTGACGTCGTCGTCTGTGCCATCGCCTGGGTATCACGATGTAATTGAATGATCATAAAGGTGATCAACTTCTCTATCAAATTTCAATATCAGATTCATACTCTTGAATAGGATCTTCCTAGCAACGTCAAAACATTGAGATATAATTAAAAAATATTTGTTTATTTTGTTATTTGTTCTAATATACTATGCCAAAAATACACAAGTAAAAATACACCTTATACAATGATCCTGTTTCTTCAAATTTTGGTGAAAACGGTTATCTATGTTGAACTTTGTAAGCCATATAAGAACTAAGTGATCAATTCAACACTTCCCTTTATACAGCATCATTCATTTTATCGTTCAGTAAGTTATACATTGTTATCTATTTTTCTCTATATTTTACCTATAATAGAGCAAAGACTTGTTCTATAAACAGTATTGCTGAAATAAATTATTACTGATTTGAAATCAGTAGTTTTTATTTTGTAAGTTATGTCATATCGTGGACATTTAACATAAAGGTCTCTATAGCTTTCATCAATCTGAAATCAGTGTGAAGATCTACTGTACTCAGCACAAAGAACAAAATCCGGACCTTCAGCACCAACTGAGTCAAGTCATTGCTTCTATATGGTTCAGAAAATTGGCGCGTCACGAAAAGCACTTTCAACAAACTACAGATATTCATCAACAGCTGCCACCTACGCTGGCTCGATACAGAAGCTCAGATGAGATAGCCAGAAAGAATAAGCAACAAGGAACTGTGAGAACGAACCAACGAAGCAAGAAGCTGTCGCTAAAGAAATATGCACTGGAAGAAAGTAGAGATGCACTGAGAAGACCGTTCGAGGACATCACGCATCAGGCCAGGCCCTCGAGTGGAACCCAGATGGGAAACGATGAGTTGGGCGTCCGAGGTGAGGGTGACATGGAGGAGATGGTGTGAGAAAGAAATGAGAGCTTCTGGGCAGTCGTGGCGCTAGGTGGAAAAGACTGCAGAGAAGAGAGTGGAATGGAAGCGTGCTACCGAAGCCGTATGTTTCACTAGGAACCCAAGCGAAAAATAATAGTAATAATAATATCTATGCGTAACTCAGATCTGATTATAAAGTGATGATGGACAATTGGTTTTTGGCAGCATTTGTACAGGTGGAGGGGAAAAACACCGTTGATTAATGACTTTTAAATACCTCGACTAGTGTTGAGCTGGTCACTCACAGGCATGGATAAATACCGACAAGTGTGATGATATTCTGATCATAGTTCTTGTAGAAAGTCAGGATCACGTGATGCTACCAAGGTTTATTGTTTAAGCTTGAAAGACAACAAATATAAATCATATCATTTACTTGACACAAAATGATCGAAATCCTCCGAAATATAACAAAATTTCGATAGACATTTGGTTTAGTTTCAGAATTATCTTTGAAGAAAAGTGGATCATTTTAGTCTGTTTACTAGAAATGTTATACAGTGAAACAGTAACATTTACTGGATAAGATTAAACAAACACAGACTAGTGTCTATAGGAAACCTACCCATTCGAATAGCTACTTAAACTTCGAATCCTCTCACTCCATTTCAGTTAAAGTAGGCTCAGATGGATGATCTTGGTTGTATTGTGTTCTGTGAGCTCAGTTGTTTAATTGTGGAGAAGCCTTTATCGTCTTCCTAGACAATGACATCATCAGCACTAACCTCAGTATGAAGTAAGCTGCCAATTGGCCAAGGAAACTATATCCGTCCTGCTCAATGAAGACACAAACCTTTCAGAATGCATAAAACCTAAATGTTCAAGTTTGTTCGAACTCATCGAAATTTGTCTGACAACATACTTCCAATTCAACGACAAGATATACAAACAGATGAAAGGAACTCTAATGGGGTCACTGATATCCGGACTACTTGTGATTAAACCAAAAATTTGGATTCGTTATGTGGACGATACTTTTGTCATCATTAAAAAAGATGATATAAAGAACACTTACAGTTTGATCAACAACGTTTTCAATGACATCAAATTCATAATGCAGAAGGAGTCGAACAACCAACTACCATTCCTGGATATTTTAGTCAGTAAGACAAATACCGGAAAGCTGGAAACCCAAGTGTATAGGAAGCCAACACACACTGACTAATCAAATCTTCAACTACAGTAGTAACAACACACAAAATTAGTTGTCTGAAGACTCTATTCAAAAGAGCGAGAACTCACTGCACTGCAGTACAACAACTTAACGGAGAAACGAAGAAAATTACTTGATGTCCATCCTAAAGAAGAACGGCTACTCAGGAAACTTTATTACAAGATGCCTATCTGATGCATCATCAACTACGAAGTCATTGACAGAAATCAGTTAACACATCATCCTACAATACATAAAGATGTATCAGAAATAGCAACATGATTACTAAGACCACTTGGAATTGGTGTGACCATTCATAAACCAACAAATTCCCTGCAAACACTATCATGCAGACGAAAGGATGCAACTAGCAAAGAAGACAAACCGTATATCATATACAAAATAAACAAAGTGATCATCCTCTTCACCTTCGTCTACATGAACACCAATTGGCCATTAAACGTCACACAGGACATTTCACCACTCATTTCGATGCATGTGGATAACAACTATGGACATGAATTGAATTTTGACAATGTTGAGATGTTGGTTAGAGAGAAGAAACGCAAAGAATATCAGAGAATTCCTAGAAGTTTTTCATTCAGATTAGTCAGTCAGCAATCAATAGATGGATGTATAGACATAGACCCAATCTATCAACCAATGAGAAAACTGATGAAAGACAGAGAGGTAAGAGGTTAAGGAAGAGGGACAGCCAATAGGAAGATGTATACAGTCAGTCAGCAACAGACAACAAGCCAAGGAAACAAGTAATCACAAACCACTTACTCAGGGCAAGTTAGTGAACCATTCGTGGAGAGATACTGACAGCTCACTTCATACTGAAGTTAGTGCTGATGATGCTGTCTAGAAAGACGATGAAAGTTTCTTCATGATTAAACAACCCAGCTCAGAGAACACAATACGACCAACAATTTATTCCTTAAATGACAAGCAATAATGTGTATTTCTCTGTAATTCATTTGATATTTGCAGGGAAGCGTTATGGATATTCGAGTAAGTTTCGTGCGTTTTGTCACTGTAATAATGTAGACAATTTAAACAGTAAAGCTGTGAGGGTTATTTAAGCAGCAGTCGGTTAATCGTAGTTTGAAATAAGCTTATCTGATGTCGTATAAATTACGGATTTTTCTATGAAAACCAAACGGCCTAAAAATTTTGGTCACAACAAGAAAATATTAATACCATCTCACTTCAGTGGATAATTTCGGTCTATAGTCTGTTAATATTTATATGCTTTCCGTTCTCGTTTATGATCATTACGCAACCCATTTAATTGTCTAGTCCCTAATATGCAGCGGTAACCAATGTCTGACATCAAAGTATTAAGAGTTGTCATGTTAGGTTACTGAGCCTAGTGGTCACACAGTAAACTGGACTGATAGACTCCGTTGAATGCTGAACGCTGTGATCTACTTGTGGTCGTTTCACGTATTCATTCTACATCTAGATTATCTTCTTAGTGACCTAAATCTATCACCGTAAAAGTCCTTAGTTTTGGCAATGAGTGATGCACTTTTGATTCACCGAGATAACATCAACTTCCGCACACTTGCACATTAAAATCCTTAAAGTGGGTAGCCAGTATTGAAAGCTAGACTAAGGATATCTTACCGATTGTTCTGGTCAGACATTTCGGGAACTAATCAAAACATTAGTCGTAGTTGGTGTGTTGTCTTTCTTCCTAATAACGATGTGTTCATCTCTGTGAAGATTTTTTAGACATTAATTCCTGCCTTGTTTTAGTATTCAGTTTATTTTTAAGGTAGTTTAGTGTAAGTGTTACTACTAGCCAGAATCTTCAACTTTGTTCATATCTAGGGAGTTCTATGAGACAAGCAGTAACGTTTCTTGTACAACACTGGCCTCAGCTGATAGAGCGATCTTTGGATGTGTTTGTTGAATGTATGAACCTTTCTCAGTATACTTTGGATCTTATCTCCCAACATTCTTCAAATCTGTTGCATAGATTCTTGAAAATCAACTGTTCAGTCTTCGGATCAATTTTCAGAAACTCATATCTCATGATGCATTTCATTCACTTAACCTCTAAATCTCACCACAAATAAGCTATCGAGATGTTATCTGCTTGATGGTTAGCAACTGAATCTAAGATGCACGTTTCGTCTTGGTTGGTACTCGTCAGCTGCATGTCTCTACACTCCAGTGACTCGAATTCGATACCCGTCACTCAAAACGCCTAAGCGTTGCCTACTAGGCTACTGGAGTATGCGAGCTACCTCTTGTATGACGGGTAACACTGAGATACTAGTTTACTCAGTAACTGGGATGTTTAAAGGAACACTTCTGAGATAATCACTTCAAATGATACATTTTAAAGTCCTTCGCAATTATCCTCTTCATATCCACTCTCAAGTAGGTGTGTAAGAATAGAAAAGAACAGTATGCACCTCTGTTCCTGAACACTCAGTTGGTACTGGATATCAAGTAGATGCTTCCCTAGTATTTAAAATTACTTACCACATGCCAGTTAATACATAGTGAACCATATTTATGGGTGGATAAAATGTCTTATTAAATCAGAGTTTGCTACTGTACACAACAGAATAACAGACCTGAGCATATGAATATGGAATGTGATAGCTGAGTTTGAAATTTCTTGTGTTTTTACTTACAGGCTAAGAGAAATTAGTCCAAAATAATTTGATAGTTGCTAACGAGGGAATTTAAAAGATGCGTTTCCGTATATTATTAAAAATGATCCCTTGATGATCTCAAATAAACGAAACTACGGTGCACCATTCACATAGTATCACTCTACTGATTAGACTAATGAAATCTAAGGTAGACACATTGTTGACTATTTTCGAAATGCTACAACTTTTATTTATTATAGTTTTTCCCTTGAGTTCCTAGTGGAACATAGGGCTTCAGTAGCACATCGCCATTTCATTCACTTCTCCTCAGTCTTTTTATCCTGGCTCCATGACTGCACATAACCTTTCATTTCTTTCTCATACTATCTCCTCCATGTTACCCTAGGACGCCCAACTCGTTGTTTACCATTCAGGTTCCACTTGAGGGCCTGCCCTGAAACTTGATGTCCTCAAGTGGTCTTCTCAGTGTATATGCAATCCAATCCATGTCCACTTTCTTCTTCTGTATATTCGTTTGGTGATAGGTTTTTTGTCGGCTAGTTGTCAAAGATCCTTGTTACTTATTCTTTCTGGCCTTTTCATCTGATTTTCAGTATGGAGTTAGCGTGGGCAGCAGCTGTCAATGTATGTCTGTAGTTTGTCGGAAATGAAATGCTACAATGTACTTGACAAAACTAAAGTGAAACCGAAAGTGAGATGGAAGTTTGTTGCTGTCATGAAGACTCTATACAAATACTTCTTAGTTAAAACTAAGGGTGTATAACTACTTCTCTTTGTTCCAGGACATTCTGACGACAGTTTTGAGGGCATAAATGATGACGGTAAGGATAAGCTTTCAAGCGAAAAACATTTCGACAACGAATGTTCGAATGATATCTGCTTACTTTGTAACAACGTACAGGGCAGTCAAAGTACAACCAGCCAGTTGGTGATCAGTAATTACGGGTATGGTATGTATTTTGTGCTAGGGAATGTGCAAATTCTTCCACATGATTCACATATGCGAATATCTGCACATAAGCTTAGTGCTGAGGCATCAGAAGTAGTCAAAATGTGTATGTATTAGGGTAGATATATGAGTGCTAATGGATGTGAGACTGTATTTTAAACCATAGCAGCATATTCAAATCTAGCTAACTTTGAACGCCATCGTAAATGTAGCGTTACTGAAAAATTCCGATGTACAATGTATCAATGCGAGATCTGCTCTATGCTTGTAAAATTTAACTTTTTTAAGCTGAGGATGTCCGACAGCTATAGGATTCTCAGCATTCCATGGAAACAATATGCAAGTAATTCAGAGGTGGAGCAGTGTGTGTATAGGGGTTATGGAGATCGTCATACATCGAATGAAGTCATCTTGAAATAACTCCTATGATGTCTGAGACATACGGTACAAATTTCGACCCAAAATCTTGTAAACATTAGCACCGAACTCAGGTGTGCATCTACAACGAAGTTTACCGGAGACATGTGATGTATTTCAACAATTCGCTTCACCCAGTCTTACCATAAATTTACCAGTCCAGGCATTTTTATACGAAAGGTGAACATAGAACAGTGTAAGGCAGATAAATTAAGATAATATTAGATTTGAAAAATAAAGAATGATAAGAAGGATGAACAAATTTTCAGTTATATATTACAGAAACTAATCGAAGTATTCAGTAATTTTCTTCGCCTACATCTTTCTTCTTCTAGCAACCTAATGTTGAAGAAGTATGAAAAGCAGCTAAGAAATAAATAATCTTAATGTCTGATTTATTATCTCAGACGCTTATTGTATGATATGCATCAATGTGCAATGAATGTTTGCCTAAACAACACTTACTACTCCAAATATTTCTTTTCATATGAATATCATTACTGTTTATATGGAAATTTTCTTCAATATTGAGTTGAAATCCTGTGAAACACACGAAGTCGTTATTCTAATTTTGATAGAAAAATTTTCAAATCCTTAGTTGCCTTCTTTTATAATGTCACCAGACCCTTTAAAGAAGTTTAGAATTCCTAAAACCCTATACAACCATCTATTATGCCTTGAAATTTCAAGGAAAGACAAGTGATCAGAAGTACAAGCCTGAGATTGGTTGAAAGGGAAAAAATTAGGGAAAATTGCTCTGTAGAAGTAAAGAATCATACCATCTCCAAAATCATAAATCCCTATGAGGATAGAAGTATGAAATTTCTTTTCACACATTACTTGTTAAAAAATATAGGACTGATGAGTTATTTAGGCAGTATCATTGTTTCCAGGTAATTAATTATATTAAGGATGCCCATCATTGAAACAAGGAACGCCAGAAGAGATCATACAACTTCTATTCACTCAAAAATGGCCAACAAACCTAGTTATAAAGGGTAAAACTATGGGTATATTAAGAAGAAAGAGAACTTTGCATCGTCTTCCATAAACAGAACTCTCTGAATATGCTGACAAGAGTTCACATATACCATGAAAATGGTAACAATGAATGCCTATGGTGCATTGGAAATCGAATCAATAGTGTTGGACGCCTCTAAAAACGTGAAATCAGTTAAAGTTCAAAAACTTCATTTTTTCAGCCTACTAAATAAATGTACATAGAGTTTAGACATTCTTTGAATAGCGAATGAATATTTAATATCTGTTCCACGATCTCGTACAAAATGTACAGAAAACTCCTAGTCCATTAGCGAATTCAGATACCCGACTACTGTAGCCCCAATAAATCCACGAAGTGACTTGGGGTTAACTAAATTTTTAGGGCGATGTACGACTTATCCTGGGACTGTAGTGCAGATAGGATCTTTGCATGTTGTGTCAACCCAGTCGTAGAAGAAAAATATGCAAACTTAAGAGATAAACAATGGGAGAGGAAGATAGGACAAAGAAAAAAACATTTTGGATAAATTCGGAGAATGAAATGAAGAAAAAAGTGATATGAACAACTCAGTTGAGAAGGGTTGAATTATCGAAAATACGAGAGAGAAAAGAGCAGGAAAAACCAAAAAGAGGAGGTTGGAAACACGAATAGTAGTTATATTACTAATTAAAAAGTAACAGCAGTGGTAGAAGACTAAATTTTGTTCATTAGAATTCTGGCAGTAATAAAGGAATCCGTATGAAAATAAGGGAGTATGTTGAACTGATGCTACTTCAGTTAATTACCTTAACCCAATCCTCATCCTAACTGGATCAGCACAGCCTATATGTCACTGAGTACCTGTCTAACATTTTTTGGATATCAACAGGTGGATAGGTTGCTTCTTTGACAAGTAAAGTGTCACAGTGTCTGCGGAGTCAAATTATGCTTGATCGCACTGGGGTTTTCGCTTTCTGATGAGCGATTATGTTTGGGATCACATGGAGATCACTACATACGTCTTTCACCGTAATCAGTGAAGAAGCATCAGTGCGGCCATACAAAGTGATTGCGACAGGCTACAAATATGGTGCGATGTATGTCCGCCACCACTGAATACACAGAGGTTTGGCTTCATGCTGCTCGGTAACAAAGTATGCTAACCAATCTTCTACTCGACAGCCTTCTACTCCAACAGCTAGTAAGTATTTATGACCTCAGAATCATTTACTCTGGTGACACTTTTCTATCCACCTGTTCTTTGTGGACTTCTATGAAGTGTGGCGACTTGAGCCGATGTACTTCTGTGCTGAGCTCCACGTTGATTCTGCCAGTCGGTAACTCGAATGTCCTTTCCTTTACGAAATTCATAGGGTCACGGTAGTAAAATTCACTTCACCACAGTAGCTTAATACACCGAAATTTTAGCCCTTACGAAACCACTCTTATTCTGTATGAGTGCGACCGCTACTAGGATATTATCCTGTCATACTTTTTTGCTTACGGTCCACTGATAACTAGAAAGCAGAGGAGTCCCAACGGTACTTAACCAGGCTTATTTTCCCTGGTATATCATGCACAGACAGATGTCATACTAACTGAACCAGAACCTATATGCTGAAAGAGAATAAAGCTGAATCAACATTTTCTACGAAGTCCTAAGACAACAATGACAATATATATTTCGAACAACAAATTATATGAACACATGCTGTTGTACAGGCAATATCTGCTACTTATTGTTCCCGGTGAAGCTGAGAAAATTTAAAGAGAATAAATCGTCACATCATGCATAATATGCCAGAGGATGCTATTATTCTCACGTTGCTACTCACAAATATTAACTAATAACCCTTTCACTACACATCAGTAGTGAATAGCAACACAGACACTGCCATTCAGTATGACCTCTAGTCAGGCAATTGTGATTAAGCCTCAACGCTTCAGTTAATGAGTCGCATAAACGGTGAAAGTGCATGGAATATCAAGCGCCAAATGTAAATAAAACTGGAAAAATGCTAGTACCCAATAAATTTTTGCCGTTTACAGAGATCATGTAAGACTGGATTTAAATCCTGGCATGGACCGATGACAAAGCTTGGGTTCAGTATCAAATACTTTCAAGTGGTATGTAGTGACCGTTTAGGTCTATGTTGTTGAAAACAAATTCATTGGAATAAATTAAGCTAAAGTTGTCGCTCAACTCAGAAACTTTTGTCATTTCACGGCCCACGATATATAGGGTCCACCATTAAACTATTCAATATGTCTTCAAGGTTGGCGCTTCATATGAGGTCAGTTCCAATTTTCTTCACTACGAGGTGAGTGGCTGTCAGTAGTCGAACACTCTGTACGTTCGGATACAAACAGCATGTAATACCAACATTTTCGGATAAAATTCCAAATGGAGCCATACATTTAGGGTGAACTATCCAAATAATCGTTATGCGGCTGCTGAATTATGAATCTATCTATCGGAAAGAAAACGAAACGTGGATGCGGAACTCTGTGTGTCAAAATTTGATATAGACTTCGGCAAGATTTCAGATGCCGCAAGACCAGATCCTAGTTTCAACTAACACTGAACCAATACATCGACCAACTTGGAGTACTTAGGATTCCTGACGCACCTTACACGAACGATAGCATGCTCCTCAATGCTTGCTGAACATCCAGAGCTCGACACCTTATAATCTGATTCATCTGCTTAAGAGCCTTTCCTTTTTGATCCCGCGCAATTTTTGTTATTTTCGACTTCAAATCAGCGAGAAACTTTAATATGAACATTTTAGTGCGCTTGATGAAAAGAACGAAGGGTATACATTTACAATTACAACACATCCTGTAGAACGTTTATGTGGAAATTTTCCTACGCATACCCCACCAACACAACTAGAAATTGTGTGCTAACTTCCATACTCTTGTCAAATTTATCTGCCTACAATATGCACAATTCTTATAGGAACAAAGTACCATAGTATCTGGACGCTAGAAGGTGACCCAGATAAGAAAACTTAAGGATGTGGAGAACACAAAAATATCCACACATAAGTCGCCACACGGCGGCTGGTTTTTGTGTAATTCCTTGGTCTCCTATGTGTATTCGTGGTCATAGTGTCTCCTATGCTAGCGGCTGTTTTTAATCTTAATGCTGCCTTAGCTTGGCTTCGCTTAATTGCTTTCCTCCCCTTCTACAAATGAGCATCCCACCCACCATTCCCTTTTCTTGTTGTTGTCCTCCGGGTTTCTAGTAGTGCAAGTCATTTGAAGTGATAAATGAGGTTCAATTGTGGCATCAGTAGAGGTGCAATGGTCACGAGTACTGCTTGATATGCAATATATACTAAGTGACAATGTAGTCAACAATGCATGCAAGTCTTGGTGAGCTGAAAGCAGGCAGAAAAATGCTTTTAACCGTCAAATGACTCAAATGTAGTGTAAAACTATTCCAAAAATATAGTAAACGGATGTAAAGATGGCAATAACCGATCGCCGAAAATAATGGCGGAGATAAACACGAAAAACATACCGGCCTGTATAGGAATATCTTTGTGCAGCCTACGGCTCTCGTACTTATGATGACCCTCGAATGCGAAACAGGACAAAACTGGCGATCACATAATAAAGAAATTAGTCGGATGCACTAGGAATATCAGTACTCAATACTTAATACCTCAACCCCTTCTGCACCACAAAGTATCTGTAGCTGCGATATGATAGCATTCAAAAGACAATGGTGGTCATTTCTCTCCCCGTGGCCATATGAAAGGTGTTTGACGCTACAGCATAAACTGCTTATTTCCAAGGAGCATGTGAACAGATTGACCACCGGTCTTGAGTCGTCACCAACCGGTGAATTCCCAAACCGGATGCAGAAAATTTCGCAACACCTAAGTTGATGAAATCTCCGCCTCCACCACATTCGTATCTCGGTCCCACAACTTCATTACACTACTGGATGTTGATGCTGGATGCATCACCATGTCTGGCTGCTTGTCAAATCGGCCGCCCAACAGTTCCACCATCTCACTCTTGTTGGAGGGTTCTTCGGTCGGTCCTGTGATCGGGTTTAAAGATTTATACGTTGGTTCCCGTTGTGGCGCAAGCCAACATAGGCTCTTAGGATTGGGACCTAGCTGTTTGGAAAGTTACTCTTGTATTTGTACCCATCACTGTGGTCACCAATGTTAAATGGGTTGCGTAGCTTCTTAGTGACAATAATATATTTCGGATAATAAACTACGCGAACACATGCCAATCTTACAGGCAATGTCTAAATGTTACTTACCAACTGGGATTGTAAAAACTTAGAAAGAAACGAATCATCGTACCATACAAAGTGTTCCGAGGTAAGCAATCGTTTAGGTGTTGCTGGTCACAAATGCTGGATAAAAGCGAT